AACTTTCAGAAAATGCCACTTAGAATTTTGCATGTTCATTGACCTAGTAATCCCACCTACATGAATTTATGATACAAAATACTAGAGGATGGATGGTTGAAAAATAGCTGAAAGTTGGAAACCAAGGCTGGCACTATGGTGTGGTGGGTTAAAGCCACGCTTGCAGGGCCAGAATCCCATGTAGAGGCTGGTTCGACTCCCAGCTGCTACACTTCCGATCCAGCTCCCTGTTAATGCACCTGGAAAACCAGGGGAGAATGGCCCAAGTGCTTGGGCCCCTGTACCCATGCGGGAGACCTGGAAGAAGCTCCTGGCTCCTGGCTTCTGTCTGGCCCAGCTCGGCTGTTGCAGACACTTGGGGAGTGAACCAGTGGATGGAAGAACAATCTGTGTCTCCCTCTCTGACTCTGCTTTTCAAATAAATAAAATAAATCTTTAAAAAATAATTCATTAATGTGAAAACTATCACAAACTATATTGTCAAATAAAAAAAAAACTTTATAACCAGGTACAACATGGTACTTTTTTATGTTAATATTTATGATGTTACTATATATGAAGTTTGATATTTTATAAGCATGCATCTAAATATATTTACTTTTATTCATAGGGCAGATATAGACAGCTCCCATCTGCTGGTTCACTCCCCAAATGCCCACAAACATCTAGGGTTGGAGCTCAGAGTTGTGAACTCAACCCACGTCTCTCACATAAGTGGCATGGACCCAACTATTTGAGTTGTCACCTGCTGTGCTGCACTCCAGTATCTCCATTGGAAGGAAGCTGCAATTAGGAGCCAGGGCTGAGAATCCAACCCAGGCATTCTGATACATGATGTGGGTAACCACCAGGCAAAACACCTGCCCCAGGTAGCTGATCTTTTTAGGCACAGAGCAAAAGATGAGAAGAAGCAAATGAGCAGGGGCTGGCACTGTGGTGCAGTGTGTTAACACCCCAGCCTGAAGCACCGGCATCCCATATGGGCACTGGCTGGTTCGAGACCTGGCTGCTCCACTTCCGATCCAGCTCTCTGCTATGGCCTGGGACAGCAGTGGAAGATGGCCCCAAGTCCTTGGGCCCCTGCACCCATGTGGGAGACCTGGAGGAGGCTCTTGGTTCCTGGCTTCAGATCGGCACAGCTCCGGCCATTGTGGCCAACTGGGGAGTGAATCAGCGATGGAAGACCTCTCTGTCTGCCTCTCTTCTCTCTGTGTAACTCTTTCAAATAAATAAATAAATCTTAAAAAAAAAAAAAAAAAAAAAAAAAGGCACATGAGCCAAAATGTTAACAGTGGTTATTTCTGGGTATTTATAACTTTCAGTAATTTAAAATGCCAGATGGTCTGCAATTGGAAACAAAGGATTCAAAGAGCAGTTGTTTGGCGTAGCAGTTGGGATGCCATTTGGGACACCGGCATCCCATTATCAGAGTGCCTAGACTTCAAGCCCCAGCTCTGCTCCCAATTCCAGCTTAATGCTGGTGCACACACTGGAATACAACAGGCGACTGCTCAAGTGTCTGGGTCCCTACCAAGCATGTAGGAGACCCAGGCTGAGTTGCCCAGTCCCAAGTATTCAACGAGTGAGCCTGCAGATAGGATGTCTCCTTCTCTAATAAAATAACTAATAAATTTACTGACATAAATGGATGTGAAGCTTTTTAAAGTAAAGGATATTGGTTAGACAAAAACTAGTTCAGTAAGTCAGTGTGTTACTTGGAATATTATCTAAAAAATAAGACTGTCTGATTTTACCCTTGTACAATCAGATTTTTTTTAACGTTTACTTTTCATCTACTTGGAAAGCAGGGTGACAGAGATCTTCCAGCTGCTAGTACACTCCCCAAATGGCCACAACAGCCAGGGCTGGGCCAGGCTGAAGTCAGGAGCCAGGAGCTTCTTCCAGGTCTCCCACACAGGTGGCAGAGGCTTAAGCGCTTGAGCCATCATCTGTTGCTTCCCAGGACACATTAACAGGAAGCTGGATCAGAAGCAGAGCAGCCTGCACTCAAACCAGCATTCTGGCAAGGGATACAGGCATTCTAAGAGTGGCTTAACCCACTGGGTCATAACAGCTGTGCCAATGAACAGATTTGGTATCACCAGATTTAACCCTGTGACAGATTTTCAAATGAGAACTAAGAAATGGGAAGTTAAAGGGGCGATGTCACAGAAACTCAGTCTTTGGAAGGATGCAGCTGTTGCGTGTGGGAGCTGAAGCTTCTTCGGACAGTACTGCTGCGACGGAACAAGCGCTGGACTGGAGAACTAAAAGCAATAGGCTGAGTCCCAGTTCTGCCACTCACTACATTCTTGACCATTTGCAATCTGTCTTCTCATGTGTGAAAACAAAATAGGAACAGTACTGCTTCCTACATAGGGTTGAGACAGAATTCACTGACAGGGCATTCAGTTCTACCTGTATTAGTGTTTGCTCACTCTGGCAACCCTAAACTGGTGAGCTTCTTGAATCAGATTATCTTGTTTAACATAATTTGGCCTTGAGAAGAAATCCAATGACTTGTGCAGAAGTGCATTTATTATATTTACATAGAAGTTCCTTAAGCCCTTCACACGAGAATTTTTCAAAGACGGTTTCTGCATGCTACAGATGACCAAGTGAGGACAGCTTCAGAAATAACAGGCTAAATATGAATACCAAAGTCATAAACACTGCCTTTCTGGTTGTTTAAAAAGATCACATAGTTGGTCTCTGAGCCAAAAAAGGTTTACTGTGTTGGTCAATAATATGGAAAACATCATGCAACATTGTAATAAAAAATATAAAGGACTAAAAAGAGTTTCTGCTCCGAAAACACTAGCATGTCCTTGTTAGAAAGTTCTCATTAGTGCAGACTCCACAGCAGGGGGTGTCCCCTTCACTCATGACGAATGCCACCCCATACTGTACTCTTCCTGTAAAGGGTTAGTCTGTGTGCAACCAAAGGAAAGTTAACAGGAGAGGCAAGAGCAAGTGCAGAGAAGGGAAAAATAACTCATCCATTTCAGAATATTTTAAGTTAGACTGTTCAATAAGTCTCTACAGTCTTCAAACGATATTGTGGCATTATCATTTTGTGAAAAGAACTCTATGTCTGGCTTCATACATAAGGATCACTAAGGAAAAACAGAAAAAAACAATTCAAAGTATTTCTTCTCCATTTAATTAAACAGTTTTGATCAGTTATTGCGTGTTAGATGCTGGATGAGGCACTTATGGGATACACCTATGATTAAGGAGCACTTCAGGAACCAATCTATAGGAAAGAAGCACATCCCCCAGTAAACACAACACAAGGTAAATTGTCAGGCAAAATGACACAGATTGAAAAGCTATCAGAATAAAACAGGATAATATTCTGGTGGTGGTGAGAAGTCAGCCAAAACCTCATGGAAACTGACCTTGGGACAAGTAGGGTTGAGAGTGATAGAGGCAATGAAACTAGTAAAAGGCAGAGGTGGGCAGAGGAAGCTGGAGTGTTCCTGAAGGGCCACCTTGTTCTGGAAGAGTCCTAGCTCTCAATCGCTCCTCATGTGCTTGGGACACCCATTTCCCAACCAATTCTTCATCCTCACCGGGGCTCAGTTTTACTGTTGCTTTCCCAGACCACCACTGCCTTCAAACTGTTTGCACTCTGCACCTTCTACAGGCACAGCCTGACTTCACATGCTTATTGCACCTGCAGCTGAGAACTGCAGCAGTTAGCTGTTTAACATCTATCACACTTGATTATACTTGCCAAGACAGACCTTTTCCAGTCTTGTTCACTGCCGTGGCTCCTGTGCCTTCACATAATGCCTGGCACACAGAAGATACATAATAAATTGTTGATGAATGAATTCTGGCAATAGGTTTTATGCGTGGTTGAATATGGCTCCAAGTGTTTTCACAATTATGATACCCACATTAAATTACAGGGCTTGTAAGAAAGGCACACGAACACATTAATAGCTAATCTATATAGATTTCCATAATTTAAAAAGCTATTCTAAATGTTACATAGTATATAGTAGTTAAGGTTCTCAAAGGGGCCAGCGTTGGCATAGCAGGCAAAGCCAGTGCCTACAATGGGCTCTGGTTTATTTTCCTGCCCTTCCACTCCAATCCAGCTCCCTGCTAATAGCCTGGGAAAAGAAGTGGAAGATGGCCCAAGTGCTTGGGCCCCGCCACCCACATGGGAGACCTGGGTGGAGTTCCAGGGTCCTGGTTTTATGCTGGCCCAGCCCTGGTCATTGCAGCCACCTGGGGAGTGAACCCGCAAGTGGAAGAACTCTCTCCCTCTTTCTGTGGCTCTGACTTTCAAATAATACATACATACATCTTAATAAAAAAGGGGGGGGCTAATAAAATAAAACCATCTTTCTTAGTGAAAGGAAAATCAGAAATTTGGCACAAAACAATAAAAACCTACAATGGAATACTAAAATATGAAGTGCCATAATATTTAAATAACTACATTATATAAACTTTCCATTTTAGACTTTAAATGTCTTTATACTTTGTTTTGTAGCCATAAGAGCTATCCAAAGTTTAGCTAAGCTCAAAATATGCCAATAATTGATCTGTCGTGAATTTAAATGAAGATAGTATTCATTCAATTTTGTAATCCTCTCCAGCCCCCAAATAAAATGATTTTAACAGTGACTGTGTACCTATTCAGTGAATATATAGTTTTGTTCTCTGCAGCAACATCCTAATACTTCATTACCACATTTAGATAAATTAGAAGGGACAATACTGAATCTGATAACTCAGCTATCTCAGATTTATTGAACTGCTACTAAGGGACATCATTAAAATATCGAACATATAAATGTAAGGTTGTCTCCTAGTTCCAATTGAATGACATACATATTTTTTATTTTTATAGTTAAGTACAAGAAATACTTTATTGTAACTATTGAAATGCTTTGTTTTGAAAAATCTGATTTTCCAATTTTAAGTCATTGGCACTTAGGAACAAAAGCAATCACTTAAATGAAAACTAAGAATATAAAGCCTATGTTTAAAACATGGCCTTTATTAATACTGCCCGCTGAGCTCCATTTTTTATTTTACATTGAAATACTTCTGCTTTGCAAAGAAAAGACAGAAAAGTGCATTTTACAAGAGTACTTGTTTGTTTTTAATTCTCTGAGAAAATGGAAGGAATCTGAGTCACAAATTCACAATGTGGTAAAATGAAATTAAGAAACAATGATTTCAGTAATGCTATGTCATCACTAGTGTTTAGCTCTGACTTTGTTCTTGTAAATCAGATCCTGATATACAGTCTAGAGCATCTAGATTATTACTCTACAGCATATTAAACACAGAAAAGGAGGTTTAAAAAAAAACCCCTTCAATGTACAAACATGAATTTAAAAATCGCTTTTAAAAAATCACTTTTTTTTACATAAGATATATGCAAAACTGCTTAAATACATGATTTTGGAAGAATTATTTACAAAATGTATCAGTCTGTGGAACAATTCACAGACGAAGCATACATAGTTGCTTTACTTAGTTGTTGCATCTCAACTTTGGGAGATATAAATTTATTCGGCAGTACAGCAAACATAAAAACTGTGACAAAGTATCTTAAGGGCAACCAAAAATTTGATCCTCAAAACAGTTTAAATACTAGGACTGCCAAAGTCTCTAAACAAGGACATGCTTTACTGATCCAGATGCCCATTCATAGTTCTCTACTGTTTGAAGGACTGAGACAGACTCCCTTCAACCAGGCCAGGGACAGCTGAGCGCTACTGCCATCCAAAGAGTGAATTAACCTAGAATTTTCTTTTTTTCAATTTTATTAATATTTTAAAAAATACATAAAAATACAACATCCAATGTCTGAATAAATATATTTAACAAGTTGCAAGATAATACCTTATTTTACACAAAATTTTCAGCTTTAGAAATCTTGTTAAATAACTTCATTGTTGTTATATATTTCATTTTTGTCTTTTTGTAACAAAATAAAAACTCTGAAATTACATAGAAAAAAGACAAAATATTTTTGTCAAGGGATAAGATAGTCCACTGAAAACTTATTCACAATTCCACTGTAAACATTAATAAACATTAAAATATTTGCATAATTGTGTGCTCAAAAATCCTATAAAAAGTGGAAGACTTATTACAACTGTAGTTTTCAGTCAACTACACTTCCTTTCACAATTTATTTTGTCCCATTTACATCTTTAAACCTGGGCACACTGCTGAACATATACTTTGGCAGTTCTAAATAGCAAGTGCTTCCACAAAAATAAAAACAACAACAAAAAAATACAACATAAACCCCCTACTCACCAAGTGTTCAAACACATCTCAGTGAAAGTGCAACGGTAACTACTCAGCTGGATAATATTTTGATGTTTATCATGTGCACTTGCTTGTCTATGATTTCTATAACACCTGAAAGCTTTATTATACAAATTCAAATTTGCTAAGTGCCCTTTTTTTCTCTATCACAAAAAATGAAAAAAAAAGAAAGAGGAAAAGTTATGACAAATATGGCAGGCTGCCTAACCTTCGATTATTCATCTGCTTATTTGTTTTCAACAAGAAAAAAGGAAATAAGAAGGGAATAGGTACGATCCAGCCTGGAAGAATATAGAGGAGATACTTAGCAATGTCAAACCAGTTGAGTGCTTTCTGTGGTTGTGTCTCAGGGTTTGGGGATTTATGTCCATGGCAGCTGGGAAGGCAGAGGAAACATTTATCACCTGCATTCTACAGCAAGTACATTTTGTGGGGGTGATGAGGATGAGGGACTCATTCCAGTGTCTGATGAAGCAGATGACATGGAGGCTCCTGTATGAGACACTGTGGAAGCAAAACAACCGTGTTAGATTCAAAATCCATTACACCAAGATGCCTAACCAACAGCAACTAGGAAACAAAATTCTTAACATTCATTTCAATCATGGGCCTCCTAAATGTTGCATGAGAAATAAGCAAAGTTTCAGCAAACATTTTGATTGGCTCAATAGCATGCAATTCATCTTTGCTCCATTAAACAACTTAAAAGTTAAAAAAAAAAATTTAAAAACACTGTAAAATGTGAAGCTTAAAGAGGAATAAACTCTGAAATCCCAACTTGGAAAATCCCAGTGAGGAACCTGGCTTGCCGCAAGTCAGAAACAAGGTCAAGCTGAGATAGATTCTCACGACAGGGAATGTCTGACTATGTTGAGGTCACAGGCCCCAAGAGTGCTCAATGCACCCAGACAAACCCCCCTGCTGTCAGGAATCGGAACCATGGTGGTCAGGATGGAGGTGCATGTGCGTGGCTAGGAAAAAAGTCCTGAAAAGTCTACCGTAACTCCCCAGGAATAGTAACACAGGCTAAGGGTTTATGTGTTGTGGACTTTGTCATTTTGTAGTTTCTGCTTTTATCATTTTTTTTTCTTAAAGATTTTATTTGACAGGCAGAGTTAGAGACAAGAAAGAGGGAGAGACAGAAAAGTCTTCCACCCTCTAGTTCACTCTACAAATGGCTGCAACAGCTGGAGCTGGGCTGATCCGAAGCCAGGAGTCAGGAGCTTCTTCTGGGTCTCCCACGCCGGTGCAGGGCCCAATTACCTGGGCCATCTTGCACTGCCTTCCCAGGCCACAGCAAAGAGCTGGTTTGGAATAGGAGCAGCTGGGAGTAGAACCGGTGCCCATGTGGGATGCTGGCACCGCAGGTGGAGGCTTAGCCTACTATGCCACAGAACCACCCCTTATCTTGTCTTTCCTCAAAACACACTCCTGTCTCTTGTCAATCTTTACTCAAACATTCCCAGTTATGTAAAGTTTTAACTTTGTTGATGTATATCTGTGGGTGTGGCTTCCAAGAAGACAAATTCCTATACGTATGCTAGAACTCTTTCAATGTAACATCCACTACAAAAAAGGAAACCAAAAGAGGAAGCCTATTAGAAGAACGCTTTTTGTTGTCTAAAACTTTAAAGAAATAAACCCCAAAGCAGTTGAGGATTCTCTGAAGAAATCTCAATTTGTTAATTTGCTCTTTTCTTCTTTTTTGTGTTTAAAAGTCCTAGGAAGACTTCTGGTTATTTAAAAAACAAACAAAAACTTGTAAAGGACAAACATGGGACGCCTGATCATTTTTTATCTGCTCCATCTTATTTCTTGCAATTAAATAAAGACCACTGGATGTGTAGTAGAATGATTGAAGACCACATCTGCTACATGTCATTCTATCAGTAACTCATCCCCAAAATACGCCTGGTTAGGCCTGTCAAGCAATTTACCTTTTATGTATTAGAGAGAGAGAGAGAGAGAGAGAGAGAGAGAGAGAGAGAACGAACGCATGTATTCCAGCTCCCATCTGTTGGATCATTCCCCACATTCCCCAAATGCCCACAATGGCCAAGGCTGGGAAGCCCAAGCTGCAATTCGGGAATTCAATCCAGGTCTCCCAGGTGGGTGGCAGGAACCAAACCACTTGAGTTATCACGGCTGCTTCCCGGGGTCTGCATTAGTAGGAAGCTGGAAACAGGAGCTGGTACTAGGGGTCAAACCCAGGCATCCTATATGGGATGCAGGTTCTCTAACCACTTTCAACAGCTAGGCCAAATGCCCACCAGCTCTGTCATCATCTTTCTAAAAAGATTTTTTTAATTTAAGAGTTAGAGAGATGGGGGCTTGGGGGAGACAGGGAGAGAGAGGCCTTCCATTTGTTGGTTCACTCCCCAGATGGCCACAGTGGCCAGGGCCCTTCCATTTTTTTCAGAGACAGCCTTCCTGGAGCCCTTCTATCCTGTTTCTCCCCATTCCTGCCATGCGAGTGTTACTCCACAGCTCTTATTAACCATCACCTTGAGAGTCAGTCCCCTTCATTATCTTCCTTGCTTGCTGGATCCATGTTGCCTCCTAGTTCCTAGCACCAGTACTGAAAAATCTGACATAGAAATTTTTTTTCTTGTTTCTTTTGGGCCAGCAGGTGGAGCCGCCATCTGCAGGGCTGGCATTCCATCTGCCTGCCTGAGTCCCTGCGGCTCCACTTCCAATCCAGCTCCCTGGGATTGTGCCCGGGAAAAAAGCAGAAGTTCCTGGAGTTCTGGGGCCCCTGCCCCCGAGGTGGGAGACCAGGGTGGAGTTCCAGGCTTCTGGCTCTGTCCTGGCTCAGCCCTGGCCTTTAAGGCCATTTGGGGAATGAACGAGCAGATGGAGGATCTCTCTCCTTCTCTCTCTGTCCTTCCTTCTCTTTCTCTGTGACCTGCCTTTCAAATAAATAAATCTTCAAAGAAATTTCTTCTCATATTTGCACCTTGACAGGGTAAACCTCTAGAGGCTGCTCTTTACCTGCAGGGTTCTGAAATTTCAAAACGTACTCTGCTGGGATCCCTCCTCCTCCACTGGTCTCCCTAAAGAGCACAGCGAGTCACTCTAGTCCTCTAACTCAGGTCCTTCGGCTGTGCAATTTTTTTAAAAAAATATTTCTTTGCTGACAATTTCCTCCCATGTTTGCTCAGGGCTCTGTTTCTAGAAATCCTCTGATTCAGAAGTTGCGTATCTTTTGTGAGACTCCATACTACTCATTTCTTCTCTCCTATCTTTTTGACCTTCTACTGGGATTTATTCAGTTTTACCGCCCCTTATATATATTTTAAATCCCTGCTATGTTTTTTACAGATCCTTCTTGTTCTCTGAAGTTAAACAGTATCATCTTTTTTGTCTTACGGTTACAGTTTCTCTTTCTCGCCCTCTGGTTATTAACCAGTAACTTCAGTGATATGCTGCACATGGTTTTTCCCAAGTCCCCCCCCCCTTTTTTTTTATAACTTTTATAACTGTTTTTTATAACTTTTTAAAGTATAGCTTGGACAGTACTTGTCTCCAGGATTGCCCCAAAGTAATCTCTTCTTCCACAACTTCTGCACTTGCGAACCTCACTCTTAGGGCACCCATTCTCACTGAATGCTAAGCACTCATTAATGCTGAGCGGCACTAACTTAGACTGCAGTTGCGTAGGAGGTGACTTAGGATTCTAAAAGATAATCTCCTTCAGTAGAAGTCTTATGCCTCATTCCTTTTGGTGAACTCCACAGCAACAACTAATACCTGTTGAGAGGCAGCCAATGTTTGTGGAGCAAAGAATGAATCTGGAGAGGGAATAAGCTCTTTTTGAGAATCTACCACATTTAGTAAATTAGACACTTTGTTAAAAAGGTCATAGGCCCTTTCTTTTTCTTTTTCTTTTTCTTTTTTTTTTTTTAGTTTGAAAGGCATAGTTACAGAGAGGAGGAGAGACAGAGAGACAAAGATATCATCCATCTGCTGGTTTACTTCCTAAATGGCCACAATGGCTGGGGCTGGGCCAGGCCAAAGCTAAGAGCCAGGAGCTTCTTCTGGGTTTCCCACGTGGGTGCCAGGGCCATCTGCTACTTCCCCAGATGCATTAGCAAGCAGCAGGAACTGAAGTGGAGCAGCAGGGACTTGCACTAGCACTCATAAGGGATGCTGGAGGGCTAACCTGCTATACCACAATGCCAGTCCTCCTTTTTTTTCCCCCCTTTTTTAAAGATGTATTTGTTTATTTGAAAGTCAGAGTTACAGATAGAGAGAGATAGAGTGAGAGGTCTTCCATCTGCTCGTTCACGCCCCAAACAGCCACAACAGCTGGGGCTGGGCCAGGCCAAAGCCAGGAGCCAGGAGCGTCCTCCAGGTTTCCCAATTGCGTGGCAGGAGCCCAAGCACTTGAGTCATCTTCCACTGCCTTCTCAGGCACATCAGCAGGGAGTTGGACAGGAAGTGGAGAAGCCAAGAATCAAACCAGTGTCACAGATGTTCGTGTCACAGGTGGTGGCTTGACCTGTTATGCCACAATGCTGGCCCTCAAATGCCCTTTAGAGCGTCTCATTCTGATTAATGCAGTTGTTGACTCACTTATTTCAACAGCAAAGGAGAAGAAAACAAGTAATTTGGAGCTGGCGCTGTGATACAGTGGGTTACCCGGCTGCCTTGCAGCACCAGCATCCCTTATGGGTACTGGTTGGAGTCCTGGCTGCTCCGTTTCTGGTACAGCTCCCTGCTAATGGCCTTGTAAAGCAGCAGAAGACAGCCCAAGTGCTTGGACCCCACAGAACACTCACATGGGACACGGATGAAGCTCCTAGCTCTGGCCTGGCCCAGCCCTGGCTGTCGCCATCTGGAGAGTGAACCAGTAGATAGAAGAGCTCTCTCTCTCTGCCTCTCCCTATCCCTCCGTAACTCTGCCTTTTAAATAAGTACATAAATCTTGAAACACACAACACACACAAGTAATATAACAATAGGAATTAATGAATGTGCACAATGTTCAAAGGGTGACTTAATCTAAAATAATAGAATGTATTCTTGAAAGTAATAAAATTACCTTCTCTGTCTTTCTTTTTTAATCTTTTTCTTCTCCTGTCTATGGTGGCAACTTCAGACTTCAGAGACATGTAATATTTTCTGATTTCCTGTAGTTTTTCTTGGAGAAAAGAGATTCTCTCTGTACTGTTCATATTATCTAATTCATCTAAAAGAAGAAAAAAAGTTAATGTGGGTTTTGAAATGATTCTTTGAGGAAAAAAGTGATGCTTTCATCAAAAATATATCTCATAAGTCAACAAAAGCTTTAGTTTCTAAAAATCAATCATAGTAAGCTAAACGAAGATCTAAAAACAAGAAAAACATGAATTAAGTTCATGACTAAAAGTTCTGATAACCCAGATTTCCTATTATTTTCCTGTTATTTTCTGAACAAGTTGTTGCTTACGTGATCAGAGAAACATAAGAAAATGTCAACACAAGATAACCTTGACTTATAATTGTGATTATCAGTTATTCTTTTTTTTTATTTTTATTTTTTTATTTTTTGACAGGCAGAGTGGACAGAGAGAGAGAGAGAGAGAGACAGAGAGAAAGGTCTTCCTTTGCCGTTGGTTCACCCTCCAATGGCCACCACGGCCAGCGCGCTGCGGCCGGCGCACCGCGCTGATCCGATGGCAGGAGCCAGGTACTTCTCCTGGTCTCCCATGGGGTGCAGGGCCCAAGCACTTGGGCCATCCTCCACTGCACTCCTGGGCCACAGCAGAGAGCTGGCCTGGAAGAGGGGCAACCGGGACAGAATCCGGCGCCCTGACCGGGACTAGAACCCGGTGTGCCGGCGCCACAAGGTGGAGGATTAGCCTAGTGAGCCGCGGCGCCGGCCTTGATTATCAGTTATTCTAATTGTTGGTACTACAAAGGCCACTTCAGTTTAATCAATTATATAAAAAACATATATATCTGATTTCTTAACTGGATCTCTTCCTCCAGGCAATATTTACCTAGTTAGCATTAAGAAAAGGTACAGATTTGTATGTAAGATTTCCAGGTAGAAATTATTAATTTGAAATACCTAAATAAATTTATCACCTTTCCTTATGTTGTTGACATTAATTCAACTTGACATTTTAAGATACATTCCACTCTATAATACATATCTGGTTTTCTATAGGCTTACTGAGTTGAAAGCTCCACTTGTATGTCCGAGGGGACGAGCTTGGATGTTTTTCTTTGTGTTTGTCTTTCTCTCCGTCTTTGATGTGAGGGGACATTCCTGCAGGAGACCGAGTGAGCTTCTGTGGCTTGGACACACCCAGATGCTTCACGGGTGTACATTTCCTTGCGCTGTCCAGGACAGAAAGATCTTCACTATCACTGCTTTGTCCTGTAATAAAAAAAGACTCGGGTTATAAATAATAAAAATCTCAAATATCAAAATGCAACAGACCTGGGGCTGGCGCTGTGGCGTAGTAGGCTAAGCCTCCGCCTCTGTGGCAGTATCCCATATGCGTGCCAGTTCATGTCCCAGCTGCTCCTTTTCTGATCGAGTTATCTGCCTGTGGTTTGTAAAGCAGTGGGAGATGGCCCAAGGACTTGGTCCCCTGCACCCATGTGGGAGACCTGAAAAACAATTCTAGGCTCCTGGCTTCAGATCAGCCCAGCCCTGGCTGTTGCAGCCATTTGGGGAGTGAACCAGCAGATAGAAGACCTCTCTCTATCTTCGTCTCTCTATAGCTCTCTCGCTCAGATAAATAAATAAAATCTTTAAAAAAAAAAATGCAACAGACTCAACAATGAAACTTCTTGGTAACCTACAGAAATAGTTACCCAAATGCAGAAAGTTTATATCAGCAATTAAAATAAAAAGGAAAGAACCTAAAGGTACCTATAAGCAAAATATTAAAAATTAAATACATTGAGGCCAGCGCTGTGGCACAGTGGTAAAAGCAGTGCCAGCATCCCATAAGGGTGCCAGTTGGAATCCTGGCTGCTCTGCTTCCAATTCAGCTCTCTGTTATGGCTTGGGAAAGCAGTGGAAGATGGCTCAAGTGCTTAGGCTCTATACACACATGGGAGACCAGGAAGAAGCTCCTGGCTTCTGGCTTGGCTTCTGGCTTTGGATTGGCCCAGCGGATGGAAGATTGCTCTTTCTGCCTCTCTGTAACTCTGCCTTTCCAATAAATAAACAAATCTTTTTTAAAAAGTACCATTGAATACTTTGCTAATGTTGTTAAAAATAATGAGCTGGAGGAGTTCAAAGAAAAAGATGTAAAAGTACCCTATATTGTTAAATAAAAAAGTAGTTACAAAACAATAGAAAATTGCCCCATTTATGTTTAAAACAAAACAACCCAAAAAAGAACCAAGTCAAACTTTGTATGTGAACAAGTACACACACAGAGATATCTTGATTTCTATAAGCACAATTGTTAACAGTTATAATAAAGTATGAGAAGATACTGATTTGGGGATACAAGTGCTTTTGGTTTTCTTGTAACAACAAAATTTTCTAGTTTATTTCCCTTTTACCTGCCTGCACCTTCTTTACTCTCAAAATTCAAACCTGCCTTCTACTGAAAAGGCAAAGCCAAAGGTGAACACTCAGTTTCCAGTCCCTGTCCTTCCTGTCTCCATCCTGACTGACCCCCCTTTCTAAAATTAATTTTAAGATTCATCTATTCATTTGAGAGTCAGAGTTACAGTAACAAAGGAAGAGAAAGAGAGAGGAGGGTGATCTTCCATCTATTGGTTCATTCCCCAAATGGCCTTAATGACCAGGGCTGGGCCAGGCCAAAGCCAGGAGCTCCCATGTGGGTGCAGGGGCCCAAGGACTTGGACCATCTTCTACTGCTATCCCAGGTGCATTAGCATGGAACTGCATTGGACGTGGAGCAGCCGGGACATGAACAGATGCCTATCTGAACTGATGCCCATATGGGATGCGGTGCTTGTGGCTTAACCTGCTGTACCACAGTGCCAGCTCCCTCTTTATTGTCTTTAAAAAGAGAAAACTCTGCTTCTGGACAAACTGATCTCTAGCCATGTTCTTTTTTTTTTTTTTAAGGATTTTTTTTTAATAAAATGATTTATTTTATTTATTTGAAAGACAAGTTACAGAGAGAGGTAGAAACAGAGAGAAAGGTCTTTTATCTGCTAGTTCACTCCTCAGATAACCACAATGGCCAGAGCTGCGCCGATCCAAAGCCAGGAGCCAGGAGCTTCTTCTGGGTCTCCCATGTGGGTGCAGGGGCCCAAGGTCTTGGCCATCTTCTACAGCTATCCCAGGCCATAGCAGAGAGCTGGATCGGAAGTGGAGCAGCCGGGTCTTGAACCAGCAGCCATCTGGGATGCCAGTGCTTCCGGCCAGGGTGTTAATCCACTGCGCCACAGCGCAGGCTCCTAGCCATGTTCTTAAAATCAGCTTCTGTGGAATATCCTGTATCAATTTCCTCTCTTCTTAAGATTGATTTATTTACAAAGCAAAGTTACAGAGCAAGAGGGAGAGTAGTAAGGGATAGGTAGAAGCAGAGAGAATCCTCCATCTGCTGGTTCACTCCCTAAATGGCCACAATGGCCAGGCCAAAGCCAAGCACTTCCTCTCATGTAGTGATAAAGGTCCAAGCATTTGGGCCACCTTCTGTTGCCTTCCCTGGTGCAGCAGCAGGGAGCTGGTTCCGATGTGGAGCAGCTGGGACGCAATCAGCACATACATGGGATGCCACTGTCGCAGGTGCAGTTTAATCTGCGGGGCCACAGCACTGGTCCCTGTCTGTTTTCTTTCTTTTTCAAATTCTTCCTACCACATCTACCAACATGCCCAGAGCAGAAAACGCCTTCCTTTATCTGGCACCTCTTCTGTTATCTTAGGGTCAAACTTCTGGAAAGAGAGGTCTTTGTTACCTTGACTGCTACACCTTCCAACCACACCCCTGTGCTCTTGTTAGGGTCTTAAACACTTACCAATGGTCAAATACAATGACTAGAAAACAAAAAAAACCACTTGAGTATTATGTATCATTTGAAATCTTTTTTCTTACTCAAACATATATAAGGAATTTCTCCATATAATTCTATTTTTTGGTCCCTTTTCTTCTCCTTTTACAACTTCCTATAGCAATCTTATCCTCTTGCAATCCTTTGAAAACTATTTTGTAAAAACAGACTTTCTTCTGAGATCTACAGCCATGTTTTCCTAATTCCCAGTACCATGACCTCAACGTTTCCCAAGGTACTCTTCCCACAACCTGCTGCTCCTTCACTAGTCCATATTTCATTCAGCTAACTCCTCATGCACGACTGATCATAACTGATTCCAGTCAGTTTACTCCCCCCAAACGTATTTCATTCCTTTACTGCCTTAGTTAAGCAAAAGATTGTTTTCAAAAAATAAAACCGATCATTTCCTTCTCTGTTTCAATTTTTTTAAACTTTTTCTTGAAACACTCTTCAAACTTTCAAAAAAGTTCTATGTACAACACCCACATTTTTTTCTCCTTTGAGGGTAAGTTGTCTTAATACACTTGGTTGCTTTCATGTGAACTTCTTACAAGCAACATTCTCCATGTGTTATTTATATGCTGCTGCATTACAAATTGGCCCAAACTTAGCACTTTAAAACTACAAATGTTTAATATCTCACACGGTTTCTGAGGGTTGGAATCTGGGAGCAGTTTAACTGTGATTTGGCTCAGGAATCCTGTGAGGTTGCACTCAGAACTTTTAGCTGGGCCTGTGTCTCTGACGACTTAACAGAGGCTGGAGGATCAGTGTCCAAGTGGCTCACTCCACTCACATACTGATCGGCGGACCCCTTGGTTCCTCGCTGGCTGTTCTGTTTCTTACCCCAAGGGCCACTCAATTGAGAGCTTAAATGTCCCCACAATACGGCAGACAACTTGCCCCAAGCAAGTGATTCAATGGAGGGCAAAGAGGAACTTGCAGTGCCTTTTTATGACCTATTCTCCAAAGATGTCAACCATCACTTCCACTTTACCTGTTACAAGTGAATCGCTAAGTTCAGCCCAAACTCTAGGGGAACGAAATTAGGCTTTGTCTCTTGAAGGGAAAAGGATGAATGAATTTGTGTATTATGTTCTTAAAACTACCACACTCCTACTGAACCATAATACAATCATGAATATCAGGAAATTAACACAGATATATTACTACCATCTTACTGTTCAGATCTAGTACAAGTTTCTCCATTTGAACCAACAATGCCCTCTACAGAAATGGGATCCACGTGAGAATTATGTTCTACATTTAGTTGTCATGTGTCTTAAGTCTCCATCAATCTAGAACATTTCCTCTTTACTTGATGATCATACCTTGACAGTTTTGAAAAGTATAGGCTAGTTTTTGTAGTGAATATCCATCCTATGGTTTGAAATTCTTGGTTGACTCCTGATTCAATCTGGGTTATGCATCCTTGATAGGAACAGCAGCTGTTGTTACATCCTGTCCCATTGTACATAATTTCGGTTTGTCCCATAACCGGCGGGGTTCACTTTCATCCCCTGACTCAGGTGATGTCTACGAGGCTTATGCACAATAAAGTTACTCACATCCCTTTGTGATTCCTGCTACTTTTCTAGTTTCATCTCCTATCACTGTGTCTCTAGTCTCTCGTCCTGCACTGTGCAGCTGCTAGCCACCTGGGACTGCTGAGAACCTGAACTATGTCTCAAAGGTTTCCCTTTGAAATGCCTTTTATTTTATATAAATTACATACTCCTTTCCTTGGAATATGTGTCTAATGTAACCAAGAATTTCCCTTTAAGACTTCTGTAAAGGCATGTTTGGAAGGAAAACCTTTAATTTGTCAAGATCAATCATATCGGGGCTGGTGCTGTGGCATAGCAGGTAAAGCCGCTGCCTGCAGTGCCAGCATCCTATACAAGTTCAAGCCAGTTCAAGTCCCGGCTGCTTCACTTCCGATCTAGCTCTCTGCTATGGCCTGGAAAAGCAGAGGAAGATGGTCCAAGTCCTTGGACCCCTGCACCCACGTGGGAGACCTGGAAGAAGCTCCTGGCTCCTGATTGGCTCAGCTCCAGCTGTTTTTGCCAATTGGGGAATGAACCAGCAGATGGAAGACCTCTCTCTCTCTCTCTCTCTCTCTCTCTGCCTCTCCTCTCTCTGTGTAACTCTGACTTTCAAATGAATAAATCTTTTAAAACAAATCAATCATATTTCTTTTTGACTATATTCTACTATTTAATTTTATTCTTTATCATAAAAGCTTGCCTTCCATGTCATCTATTCTATTCACAAATTTCTTGTTTCAGTAAGAACTGCCCTTATTTCTCCATGTTCTTTTAAGACGGTTTTTGTTGTTTTTGAGAAGCGCGCAAGTGGGCCGGCATTGTGGCATAGTGGGAAGAGCCAGCACTTCCAATGCTGGCATCCCATATGGAAGCCAGTTCAAGTCCTAGCTGCTCCACTTCCGATCCAGCTCCATGCTAATGGCCTACAAAAGCGGCAGAAGATGGCATAAGCGCTTGGGCTCCTGCCACCCAGGTGGGAGAGCAGAAAGAGCTCCTGATTCCTGACTTAGGCCTGGCACAGTACTGGCCATTGTGACCATTTGGGGAGTTGAACCAGTAGATAGAAGATAACTCTCTCTTTCTCTGTCTCTCACCCTCTTTCTGTAACTCTTTCAAATAAATAAACAAATCTTAAAAAAGACAAAGAAAAGAGAGAGAGAAGCAAACAGGCTCCCATCTTTGGTTCACTCCCCAAATCCTGAAATGGCCCCCACATGGGTAGCAGGAACCCAATTACTTGAACCATCACAGCTGAACTCCCAGGGTCTGCACTGGCAGGAAGTTGGAGTCAGGAGCCAGAACCAGGTATTGAACCCAGGTACTTTTATGTGGGTCACAAGCATTGTATCTGATAGGCTAACGCCACCCGCTCTGTGTTTTAAAATTACTGTCCTACCCATAAATCAGCTCTTCAAAATTCAAGGAAATAGCACCTTCAGAAATGAACCTTTGATCTACTTCTCAACAGAAAAAGAGCGTTTGCTTTTCAAGCGTCCCAGATACATTCCTCTAAACTGCTTTCATAAGAAGCACAAAGCATAAAAATATCACAACCATCCCAGTTTTAAATAAAACTGACATGCACTTTCAGATTAAAAGTTAATGGGAATATGGCTTTTTCAGAATATAATAAAAGGAACACACTTTTAAACTGACACAAATGATCAAGCCAACACACTGCTGAAAATACTAACCCTGTATAAAAGCTGGTGTGAAAAGGTAGTGCTTACCTGCTCCATTCTTTTCATTTTTGGCTACAGCATTTGTTCGCTTTGGGGTGCGCTTCTGCTTCTTTGCCAGTAACCCACTGTTTCCATCACTTGGTCTTTTCTGGCCTGAAATATGAGGAAAGAGAGAATTTTAAAACAAAACAAAACAAGAGCAAGTATAATTTATTCATTATTCATTTGCCTACATTATTTCTATATATACAAAGACAAAAGAAAGAACAACAGTACCTGAAACCCTTAACAATAACTTTTGCATCCTATATGAGGGTACATTTTTTTCCTGAGCAAACCTTACCCTTCTCTCTGCTCTCTCTCTCTTGAACGATTATACCACAGGGACCAGAGGCACCGCTGGCTTCAAACCCATTTGCTGACTCCCTGTCACAGAGACCTTCTTGAGATTCTTCCGCGATGCTGTCCACCTCGATCGTCATGTCGCTCTCACTTTTCACACTGCGGGACTCGTCTTGGCTGAGCGTCAGCGGTGAGGCCACCGAGGAGCTGGGCTGCGTGGCAGGAGGCAGGCCCGGTGGCCCAGGGACCAGGGAGAGGGCCTCAGAGCTCTCGACGACCGCGTCCTCGACACCGGGCTTATCCTTCTCATCCAGGTCATCCAGATCGACTTCGTGGCACACCAAGGTCTCGGGCCCGATCAGAGGCATCGCCTCCTCCTCCTCCTTCAGCGCAGCCGGCGGGCTTTCCTCGGCTGGACACTGCGATTTCTCACTGCCCAGTTCCTGCACGCACTGGTTCGATTCTGCTGTCAGTGACGGCATTCCTTCATGTTCGGTTTCAAAGTGCTGCTCAAATTTTACGTTTTTCATCCCTTCGGATCCGATACAGTCACTGGTCCTTTCTTGAGCGACGCTGTTTGCCACTTCCAGCCCATTCTCGACTCTGTTTTTTTTCTCTGGTGATGACTGTCCTAGTATTTTCCGTTTCAACTTCTTTTCCTTTCCACACGGGTCATTGTCATCCTCGGCGGCAGAGGAGAAGTTTTTACTGTCCAGTGAGGAAAATTCAAGGCTGTGGGCTTCTGGATGGGGCTCACTCCCGGCTTCATCCTGGCTTGATGATGAAATCTTGATCATTTCTAAAGAGAGGTCTTTTGTCTTGCTTCGTCGTCCCTTTCCTTTGGGGGATTTTTCTGCTTCTTTCTTCATTTCTTCTACTTGGTCTACTTTGTTTGCAAAAATCGGTACTATCTGTTCACTCTCTCCAACTTCTAACTTCAAGGTTTCCAATGGCTGCATCTGAGTCCTGTCGTTTTCTTTCAAGCTATGTGCAGCATGCTTTGGGTTTTCTTCCTCTAGTTTATCATCACTTAAGTGTTCATTTTTCTCCAGCTCTTCTTTGCTATCAGGAGAAAGTTCTTCATTTATCAAGTTCTTTTCTACTGGGTCTTCTGCTTCACTATCTGAGGAGCAAGAGTCTGGAAGAAGAACATTATTATGCAGGTTTTCATCTCAATTATCAACGTAATTTCATAATAAACAACCTACCCAACATAAAAACAAAACCCTTCATCATATACCTCTAAATACTGCCCCGCAGATATAGATCATAATATTTGTGTTAGAAATTGGGGAGGGAATTTCAAATAAACTCTATGTGAAAATACATTATTACATCCTACGTCTGCAAGAGCTATTTTGTAATATCTGCTAGTATCACACTTAGACTACATTTAAAGAAAATCAAAGCACTGGAACTGATATACTCCATTAATATGTGAACTGTTTTGACTTAAGAATGTAGGCACTGGTTAATACATGTCATGGTTATTTTGTGTACCAAGAAAGGAACATGACATTCCACTTAAAAGAATTCTGGGAAGAAGAGATGTTAAAATGAGCAATGTGAATTTCCAAAACTTTAAACATCCTTTTCATGAATAGAGAAGAAAGTACAGGCAAATCATCTCCTTGAAAAAGAAGTGATTCCATTTAAATCAGGGAATATTTAAAAAAAAAAACAGAATTCTAAGACCAAAATATAAAATTCTGCCCATATGGTACTCATATACTAAAGAAGTTCAAAAAGGCCAACAATGAATGAATTTTTTAAGTAACAAGTTAGAAAAAGTTTTAGTTTGTAATTTTAATAGAAGTGAAATGTGGAGTTCATTTTTCTCATGTTTTAGAACACGCAGCCTGTGGTGGTTTAGTAAGGCTGTTATGGACAGCTCTGTAGGTTATACACTGGACACGGGCATGCCTGGGACATGAGGCATTTGTGTACTCTGACAACTTTCCAGTAGATGGCAGTGAAGAGGAAGGATGCCTCATCACCAATCTGCACACGAGCACCACGCGGCCTAACGGCAGGTCTGTGGTTCAGGATGGCTCTCTTCTTGAAGGGAGGGGAAGCAGACAAAGTAACAGCAGAACACAAAATGTTCACCCATACTCGCCACAGTACAATAGTCTGTGCTCCCTTTAAACAGCAACATCTCAGCTGTATTGAAAGATCTTGGGCAAAAGACACTGAATTTACAGGAGATGAAGGTGCATGTTTTGAAGGAAAGTGTAGCATACAGGAGAATGCATGGATTGTCAATTGCTCCTTAATTAAAATAGAACATTTTAAAGATATTTATAAGAAAAGATTAGCCGGCACCGCAGCTCAATAGGCTAATCCGCCGCCTGCAGTGCTGGCACACCGGGTTCTAGTCCCGGTCGCTCCTCTTCCTGTCTGGCTCTCTGCTGTGGCCCGGGAGTGCAGTGGACGATGGCCCAAGTGCTTGGGCCCTGCACCCAATGGGAGACCAGGAGAAGTACCTGGCTCCTGGCTTCAGATCAGCGCGGTGTGCCGGCCACAGCAGCCATTGAGGGGTGAACCAATGGAAGAGGAAGACCTTTCTCTTTCTGTCTGTCTCTCTCTCACTGTCCACTCTGCCTGTCAAAAAAAAAAAAAAAAAAAAGATATTCCTTGGGGCTGGCACTGTGGGTTAATGCCCTGTCCTGAAGTGCCTGTATCCCATATGGGCGTTGGTTCGAGACCTGGTTGCTCTACTTCTACCCAGCACTCTGCTGTGAAAGCAGTAGAAGATGGCCCAAGTCCTTGGGTCCCTGCACCTGGGAGACCTTGAGGAAACTCCTGCCTCCTGGCTTTGGATCGGCACAGCTCTGGCCATTGTGCCCAATTGGGGAGTGAACCATTAGATGGAAGACCTCTCTCTCTCTCTCTCTCTCTCTCTGTGTGTGTAACTCTGACTTTCAAATAAATAAATCTTAAAAAAAAAAAAAAAAAAGGATATTCCTAAATGACAGTGTCACTAAATCGCAAATAAAAATATAGCCAACTGAACATTCTCTTCAGATTCCGCAGTTTAAATAACAAGAGATCAGAAACCTAGACAACTTACTGTGAGTCCCTGGATTACTGGTAGTTGTACTACAGTCTTGCGCTGCATGACAGCGTTTCAGTCAATGACAGACCATATACACGACGTGGTCCCATCAGGTTATGCCCCTAGTGACCTTGTAGCTATCTCAGTTCTGCACATTACTGCTTGCACCAGAACAGACTGGCCTACTGTGCTTCTCAGAGCGCATCCCTGTTAGGCGATGCATGGCTGCGTTGATATCATGGATTTTTCTAAGATCGGGGATCCTCAAAACTGAGCACCTTCCAGTGTATTTGACAGAGGGAATCTGCTTGGTACAGTGCTGCGAGCATTTCTGGTACCTGATTTTCCTTCACTGTTCGCTGTCTTAGATAAGCCATATGGCATGCTTGACGACAGAGCGGATTTTAACGGCGGCCGTCCCCGTTTGGATTTCTGCCTCTCCTCGTCCCTCTCACTTTCTTCTTTATTCTGGGTAAAGAACACCGAAATGCATGAGAACGGTCAGCGTCTTAGGAGAAGCATTCACTATCCAAGGAAAACCACGACTCAAAGAAGGTTAGCTATTTTACATGTCAACTCCCAACCTGTTCTTAAAGGAGAACCAACAAGCTCTGTAACCTATTTTGTATTCGCAGGAATCGGCTGTTCTATGATTTGTAACACTGTGGTTACTTTGGGACGGTCAAAGTCATTGGATCGGGAAACCAGGCCGCTACTGGGCACTCCCGCTCTGCTCCTCATTGTCCCCTGCGGGAACGAAAGAGGTCAGCCACAGACAAAACACAGGGCAAAGCTCCAATGCAAAGGCTGGGAAGCCAGGGTGCGGGTGAGGGTGCAACTGGCCAGCAGGTATGCGTTTAAAAATTCAGTTCCCAGTATTTGAAAATCAGACTTCACATTAAATATATAATCAATTTTATATTTATATATAAACACATACATACACATACATATACAGAGAACAGTCTTAAGTTCTAAAATCTGGGAAACCTGGGTCTGCATTCCCACAGCAGACTCCAGAAGACAGATGTGTCCTCCTGTCTGTCACCACCCATCCTTTTTTCCTGCTTCCTATCAAGCCCAAAGAGGCGTTTGACTTTGAGTCCCATGCTCTGGGGGTTTGGTTTTCACCTTTCTGCAAACAATGGGGATAATGTTTTAGATTTTTACATTTTTAGTTCCTGGACTACAATAGAGAAAAATCACAATTATCCCAATAGACCCAAGATGATTATTTCAGTGAGAAAACAAGACTTATAGAAAACCAAAATGCCTTAAATGCAGATTACTAACTGAAAGAAGCCAATCCCAAAAGGTTATATATTGTATGCGTCCAACAATGTGATACTCTGGAAAAGGGAAAACTAGGGAGACAATTTAAAAAAAATAAAACAATGCTATGCAAAGGGTTTGGTGAGGGTGGCAGAGAGGAACAGGCAGAGCTCAGAGGATTTTTAGGGCAATGAAACTACTTCGTGAGATACAGTACTGGTGTATACATGATACCAGACGTGTGTCGAAACCCTTGGACCGTACAACACCAAGAGTGAACCCTAACGTAAACTGTGGACTCGGTGATGATACATCAGTGCAGGTTCATCAATAGTAAGAAAATTTTAAAAAAGTACCACTCTGGGCAGGGGAGGTCTGTGCAGGTGTGGGGCAATGTAAATGGGAAATCTCCATACTTTCCCTTTAATTCTGCTGTGACAGAATTAAAACTGTTCTAACAAATGTCTTTAAAAAATACACACGATACAATTTGACTGTTTTTGCTACCTATCATAAAGGATATGAATCTATAAACATACTTTAGCTTTCTTCTTCTGTTTTTTCTTTGGTCCACCTTTGTCCAAAGGCCAGATTATCCTGTCAGCCTTCACCCATTCATCATACCTTAAAGGAAATATATAAAAATGTCAAAATGATGCTCTATTTGCAATGCATTCACCAAACAAAAACAGAGAGACAGACTAAAGAACCTGCTCCCACTGGAGGCAGAAATGTGAAGGGCATGGGTGCTGGTGTTCTGATCACATGGGCCAGCATCTGAGTGTACACCTACCACCAACGGGGAAAGGCAAGAGAATTTTTTAGAGTTAGCAGGTTTATAGGGAGGTCTGGGTAAACTCTAAATAGATCTAAGGCTACTTGATCTGCTTTGCTTTCTGCAACTCCCACAGATCTGGGCTTGTAAGTATATACCGGACTACATTTTATTCTATTGAGTGATAATACTACAAAAATAAATCAGGTGGTGTATAACATGATTACGTCAGATTATTTTATCAAGTTCTTTTCAATTTTCTTCTCCTCCCCAGAACTCTCTCTAGCTTCCAGTATTTCCAATAAAATTTTATTTTGCACTATGTCACCTTTAAGACTGCAATTTTTCAGATATTTATATTTCCTTTCTTTTACCTAAGTTTATTCTATGCAGCTCAAGTTGAAAATGCTTCATTTCCGGGGCCGGTGCGTGGTGTAGCAGGTAAAGCTGCCCCCGCGGCGCCGGCATCCCGTATGGGTGCCGGTTCATATCCCGGCTGCTCCACTTCCGATCCTGGAAAAGCAGTAGATGGCCCAAGTCCTTGGGCCCCTACACCCGTGTGGGAGACCGGAAGAAGCTCCTGGCTCCTGGATTCGGATGGGCCCAGCTCTGGCCATTGTGGCTAGTTGGAGAGTGAACCAGTGGATGGAAGATACCTCTCTCTCACTGCCTCGCCTTCTCGCTGTGTAACTCTGACTTTCAAATAAATAAATAAATCTTTAAAAAAGAAAAAGAAAACCCTTCATTTCCCTTTTACCTTTATTTAAACGATTGACTGACATCACTTTTGGATTTCAAATAGTCAGTCCAAGTTACTGATCAGAAGTAAATAAGGGGCCAGTGCTGTGGCTCAGAGGGTTAAAGCCCTGGCCTGAAGTGCTGGCATCCCATATGGGCACTGGTTCTAGTCCCGGCTGCTCTTCTTCCCATCCAGCTCTGTGCAATGGCCTGGGAAAGCAGTAGAAGATGGCCCAAGTCCTTGGGCCCCTAACCTGTGTGGGAGAACCCAGAAGAAGCTCCTGGCTCCTGGCTTCAGATGGGTGCAGCTCTGGCTATTATGGCCAACTGAGGAGTGAATCATCGGATGGAAGGCCTCTCTCTCTGCCTGTCCTCTCTGTGTAACTCTGACTTTCCAATAAATAAATAAAATCTTAAAAAACAACAACAACAACAAAAAAGAAGTAAATAAGAAACTAACCTTTCTAGAACTGAATAACAGTTCTTACATTATGTAAATAAACAGGAATTTGTAGAATCCAATCAAAATCTCAAATCTGAACATGTAAGTGAGAAAACTATAGTCCTCATTTCAGAATGTACCACGTTAATGGAAACCATATGGAAGTCATAATCTTGCTATGGAGATCAGTTATTGTGGAGACACACTAAGTAGGGATAAGGTTCCAACAGGCACAGTTTCAGTTGAAATAGTACCAAGATTACCTACACTCTAGTCTGAAAATTATCTGCTGCTCGATTAACTCAAGATCTAAAGCTTGTCAAACAAAACTGGCTAAAGATATTGTACCATGCTTTTAAGTATCTGTACTTTATTACCTTATTTAGAAATATTCATTAATGGGGTGGGTGGCAAAGTGGCATAGTAGGTTAAGCCTACTATGTGGTGCCAGCATCCCATATGAGAACCAGTTCAAGTCCCAGCTGCACCACTTCCAATCTAGCTATCTGCTAACAGCCTGGGAAAACAGTGGAAGATGACCCAAGTGCTGGGACCCCTGCACCCATGTGGGAGACCTCGAAGAAGCTCCTGGCTCCTAGATTCAGAACAGCCCAGTTCCGGCTGTTGCACCCATCTGGAGAGGAAACCAGCAAATGGAAGACCTCACTGTCTGTCACTCACTCTCTTTCTGTAACTCTGCCTCTCAAATAAATAAATCAATCTTTAAGAAAAATATAAAAATCACCTTCAACAAAAATAATATCATGAAAAAAAATTAAATATTCATTCATTTGGGCATTTGCTGAGTGTCCACTAGTGCACCAGGAAGTATGCAGAGGATAATAAAGAAAGAAAGGCCTTCTCTCATGCGACTCACAGACTGGTATGAAACACAGACACAAAGCAAAGTTAAGCACAGCCTAGTATGGGCATTAGAATTATATACCTTACCCAGGGCCAAGGAAGAAAGAAGTAACTCCCAAACCCCAAAATTCCATAGGCACCATCAGAGAGAAGCCAGAAGCAAAGGTCTGGTCTACAGTATCCCCGACAAAGTGGTGCCACACATAGGTACTTCTAGCACTAAGCCTGTCAATCAAGGGTAGTCCCAGCTTTCCTAATTAGAGACCAGGCCTCCCCACCCCGCCCCATCACCCTTGCACGCGCTCTTGTGTTAAAAATCCAACTAAATTTTTAAAGAACTGCAGTGGTTCTATCTCAATGAAGAGGTTGTAATTGTACCAGTTTTAGGAATTTGGAAGGCTAACAAAGACCACGGTTCTAACAAGATAACCAGTTAGGGATCTGAGCATATAGTAAGTGACTATTGAGAAAAGTCACAAAGTAAACACTAACAAGATGAGCAAGGGCGTAGGCATTTGACACAGGAGTTAAGACACCACTCGGGACACCTGTTTCCCGTATCAGAGTACCTGGGTTTGAGTCTCAGCTCCCTTCCTATTTCCAGCCTCCTAACGCACACCCCAGGAAGCAGTGTGATGGCTGAGGTATCCGAGTCCCTGTCACCTGTGCAGGAGACTCAACTGAGTTCCAGGTTCCCAATTTTGGCCTGGCCCAGCCCTACTCTGGCTGTTGTGGTATTCTAGGGAGTAAACTAATGAATGGCTCACTCTACCTGTCTGTCTCTCAGCCTTTCAAATAAATATAAAAACAGCAACAACAGCAATTTTTTAAAAAAGAGCAGCAAGAAGCATGACAGGAAGGGGACATTCTGGAGAGCAGAATAGAAACACAGGCAGATGGTACCTGAGAGTGGGTGGTTGTAAACTCAAAAGATCTGAGGGCAAAGGAAGGCTTTAAGGTGCTGCAAATACAAAAAATGAGGGTACCTGAAAAAGCTGGTGGGAAAATAGAATTAAAAATTAACTTTGGGGCCAATATTGTTGCATAGTGAGTAAAGGGGCTTCTTGCAATGCAGGATCCCATATAGGAAATGTGTTAAGTCCCAGCCGCTCCACTTCCCATCCAGCTCCCTGCTAATGCACCTGGGAAAGCAGCAGAAGATGGCCTAAGTGCTTAGGCTCCTGTACCCATGCGGAAGACCCAAAAGACGCTCCAAGCTCCTGGCTTCAGTTTGGTCCAGCCCTGGACATTGTGGCCTTCTGGGGAGCGAGCCAGTGGATGGAAGATCTCTATCTGTTCCTTTAACTCTGCCTGTCAAACAAATTTATTAGTTAAAGCGACACAGAGGTGGGGGGTATTTTCCATCCGCTGGTTCACTCCCCAGATGGCCACAATGGTGGAAGTTGGACCAATTTGAACCCAGGAGCCAGGAGCCAGGAGCTTCTTGTGGGTCTCCCGCGTGAGTGCAGGGGCACAAGGACTTGAGCTATCTTCTACTGCTTTCCCAGGCCATAGCAGAGAGCTGGATCGGAAGTGTAGTAGCTGGGACTCAAACTGGCACTCATATGGGATGCCGGCACTGCAGGTGGTGGCTTTACCCACTACGCCACAGTGCCGGCCTAATAAAATAAAACTGAAAACATTTTTTTCACTCGCTATAAAACCATTTTTGAAGTCTACATAGTTTTTTTCATAAGATGCATTTCATGAACGTTTTGAAGATCCCTTATATGCATGGATTTCAAAACTTTGTGTACCAAAACAAACTTATCTTTCTATTCCATTTTTTTTTTAAAGGATATATTTATTTATTTGAAAGGCAGAGTTACAGAAAGGTAGAGGCAGAGTTGGGGGACACAGAGGTTTTCCATCTGCTGGCTTACTCCCCAAATGTCTGCAATGGCCGGAGCTGGGCTGATACAAAGCCAAGAGTTTGGAACTTCTTCTGGGTCTCCCATGTGGGTGTAGGGACCCAAGCACTTGGTTCATCTTTCACTGCTTTTCCAGGCATATTAGCAGAATGCTGGATTGGAAGTAGAGCAGCCAGGACTTGAATCAGTGCCCATATCGGATGCTAGTAGATGCTGGCTTTACCCACTATGCCAACAGCGCCAGCCCCTCAATTCCACTTTTATGAACATTTTAAAGTACTCTCATATAGTGACTAAGAGTTGGCAAACACAGTCTTTTCCTCCTGAATTCAACAGTCCATGGTAAACAGAAAAGAAATTTCAAAGCTGTATGTGCTAGTCATTAAATCCATACCCTTTAAAGATGAGATGAAAGAAGCCAAATGCTCCCTCACAGAAGAAAGCTGTTACCATGCACTGAGCACTCAATCAATGCAGGTATCGCTCGAAGCACTCCGGCACGTTAGAACAGGTGTTACTGCTAGTGTACGCTGTCACTATAAAATAGGACTTCATTTTCCCTAATACAGCGGTAAGGGAGCTGAATCATAACAGAGCACACATCTAGGATACAGGGACGCTCCAGAGCAGTCTGGCTCCCAGTAAGCACAGAACAGCTGGAGACTTAACACACGGGGCTTCCTAAAGAAAACAAGAAGCAGCCCCTGCCATCCAGGGTCACCACCTGGTGTCAGCGGCTGAGACCTGGTCTGACACTCAGAACTAAAGCCACGCTGCCCTCCTGTTGAATGTGAACAACTTCGCAGAGCATCATCAGACACACCTCCTCTGTGACCCAGATGGATCAAAACCAAACCACCACCACTCCCTAACCACGTCTGAACACAGGAGAAACAGGAGCGCCGTTTGAGCCTCGGAAATGACAAAATATTCTTTTTTCTCTTAATAGAAGTAACTGTTGTCTCTTCCAATTACAGCATTAACCTTGATCTAGTATCCTAATCATAAAATTACCCTGAGCACCCTGACAGGATCCAATTTAGCAAAGTCTTACTTCCTTAAATTCTCCCTCAAGTCACTTAACAGAAGCTCAAGACCAAGTGTTTCCTAACATTTAAAAAATTAGTTAGCCAACTTAGAGTTATTACAGTGTTTGGCACAGGCATGGCCTCTGAATGAAACAAACGCTTGTACAGTTGGGAACTGCTGGCCTGAAATACATATCTGCAGAACCTCAGGCCATCCCTGTTCCCAGAGTTGGTGCCCTGAGCTTTTACTCATTCATCCAACATCTTCTTAATGAGGAGCCTCTTGTTCCCCATGCTGTGTGTAAATGAGTAATAAACTCAACTTGCTATAGCTACCCATGGGATCCTGGTGGTCTGTGACTGGAAGTACTGACATACCTAGTAAAACAGTGTCAAAGTCTTGGGAAGTTCAAAATCAAAATGTGTTCTGAAAACCAACACCTACACATGTGTGTGCGTGTGTGTACACACACATTTATTTTAGTCCTGTAATACATTACATTGACCTTTTTGAACCACTGAAAAAATTTGATAATAAGAAAATAACTCCTTGCTTACCTGACATTCCATCCATAATAATGCACCAAGTATAAAACTTCCCCATCATCAATTTCAGTGCTTTTAATGCTGGCTTCATAGATTTTCTGAGTCTTGCCTCGTCCGTATTTCACTTTCACTTTGGTTCCCGTTAGGCAGGGCTCCATGTCTTCCTCACCTTCTTCCCCTTCAGAGTCACACTTGCTTTCAGTGTCTTCCCTGCAGTAAGTTACAATATTGATAACAACGCCACAAGGAACTTAATGGAGAACAAAATAATATTTGCTAAAAAAAAATAAATAAATCCAAGGTGTAGAGTAGTCACAGCCTAAGTGTTACCTTGGTAACATGTCAGTGGAGGAGGAGAAGAAGGAGGAGAAGGAGAAGAATCTTATGGGACTTGCTATGCAATGGCGCACTGCAGAGAAGTGAACCTGCACTTGTTAAAGCTGATCAATAATCACAGTTAGTGACCATGTGCAGTCCAATAAATCACTTTTGGTAAAACAAAAATAAGAACAATACACTCTGAAAAAGTCTTCAGGATTCACACATCCTTGAAAATGAAAATGACCTGAAGAGATTTTGTAACTTCCTGCAACTCAGTTACTCTGAGTCTACTTTACTACTCGTTGCCACTCAGAACAAGTCTTAGCAGGACCAGCTTTTTGAGTGGGCAAAATGGCTATCATTTCCCTTAAGCTAGCTGTATTTAAAGGGTTCCCTACCCTAACAAAAACATTATTAGATGTTTGTTTCACATGCCAAAACTATAGGATAGCAGAGGGAGAATAAAGCTTTGCAAATGGTGTGTCGACTGCTCCTGTTTGCTCATCTTACATCAGCTTGTCTTTGTTCTGATACCCATGGATAAGGAAGATTCACACAGGAAGCTCCAATGACATTGCTAATATCTTTATGGTAAAGCATTCTGTACGGAGCCTGCAAGGATTCAGAACAGAACTGCATCAAAGATAATTCTAGTGCCATGAGAGCTTTAAAAGCTAAAGAGGAAGCACTGTGCTCCATAATAATTATAGGGCATCATTTCAGTGGCCCCAGGGACTACACATGAAGCTCTGACCATGAGTTTACAGTGGGAATGTTTTCTCTCTCGGACATCTTCCAATAACAGCCCAAGATAATCTCAAATCACTGAGAAAAATGACTTAAAATGGGAATCTTCAGATAAGCGCCCCCAGGCCAAGACTCGTGCTATCGAATGAGAATAGACTTTTGGGTGTCTGCATACTCAATTTTTAAGTCTCTTTAAACCACGTTATTTATATACACAGATGTATTATGGATTATATATACTTTATAATATATATGTTTTGGTGCTTATTTTTCACAAAATTTCAAACTATAATGAGGTCCTACTTTTTAAGCAGTTAATCTTTGCTTTTGTCTAAATATATAAAATACTACAACTCGTATCATTACATTCAATTCCTATTATTTCGTCCTACTTCTAATCCCAATTATATTCTAGTATAGAACTTTGTTTTATTCTCTAACCAAGTTCAGATGTAATTGTGATGGTTCCTGTATATATTTGTATTGAGTCATATTATTTTCAAATATTCCTATTTTTGCAAATATTTAACCTAACAAAAGTTAATTTTCATAAAGATATCAGCCACTAGCTGGATGTGGCAGGCTACTTTTCCCAAACTGCCTTAACAATTCAGATTTCTGGAAAATGCAGCATCACATAACAATTTAAAAACTTCGGAAAGACAGCTTCTATTGCAAGTGCTATCATTTATTTACAATGCATTTAAGAAATATCTAAAATTAGTAAATCCAGGGACTGGTGCTATGGTGTAGCAGGTTAAGCCGCTGTCTGGAGCACCGGCCTCCACACTGATCCAGCTCCTTGCTAATGTGCCTGGGAAAGCAGAAGATGGCCCTTGTGGGAGACCCAGATGAAGCTCCTGGCTTCAGCCATCTGGGATGGGAACCAGTGGATGTGAGATCTCTCTCTCTCCCTCTCCCTTTGTCTATCCCTCTTCTCTCTGTAACTCTTTTAAATTAATAAATAAATCTTTAAAAATAAATACATTGAATTAATAAATCCATTTCACAACACTTAAAGCAATGGACAACTAAATAGCATGGTCAGACGTTACCTGGACTACTCAATCTTCGGCTATTTTTAAGTTTGTTCAGTCCCTACACGTCTAAGGCCTAGATAAAAATGCAATTTTTACTCAACAACAAACAGAATGGACATTAAAAAGCCGAACTTTATCAGTGTGATGCGGGGCAAGAATATATTTTCTAAGCTAGAATCAGGGGTGCATGCCACTTACGCTAATACATGAACTTGGGGGAAAAAAAAGTCTTAAAGCTAACACACAAACACCTGCTAGTACTGTGCACCCATGTGTCTGCCAGCTTTCCCACATTGTACCTTTTGTAAAATGGAATTTTTGCTGTCGCTGCTTCCTCTTGTCCACTTCCTCCATTTTTCTCCAGCTCCCTTCCCTGCTGCCAATGCAGGACCTTTCTTTTGACTGGGTGGCGCAGCCTTCTTTGAGGCCACTGTTTGGGGCACAAGTGCTATTAAAATGGTGCGACCAGTATAGTCTCCAATTCCGAAAGGCGATACACATCATCTTCACAATGTGTCTCACCTTCATTAGACAAGAGGAATGGAAGTCCCAAGAAGAAAACATTCCCTCAAACCTGAATCTCTAGGCAGGAGCAAGGCACTGCTGCACCCCAGACAGGAGCTTCTTGGAGAACAAACACAAGACAATGTACCTCTCTTGGTTTTTCTCTTCCTCTTCATCTGAGTCCTTGTCGGAATCTTCCTGCTTTTTAATTTTCTTCTCCTTTTGCTTTGGTGTAGTTTTTCTTCCAAGTAGCTGCTCGGTTTCTCTTTTCTCTGCAGTGTCATAGTCATTATCCACATCCTTATTTTCTGTATCATTGTCTTTTAATTTGTCTTCTGTTTTCTCTTCTTCAATTTCCTTTTTAATAGAATTTACATCTCGAGCAATTCTCCTTCGGCCCTGGTAGAGGAGATAAAAGCTTTAAAATATCTATCACCACATGGGGGAAAATGCAGAAAAGATATATTTTATTTATTTGAAACACAGAGATACAGAGCAAGAAGAAGAGAAGAAAGGGAGGGAGAGAGGGAGGGAGGGAGGGAGACAGAGGGAGAGGGAGGGAGGGAGGGAGGGAGGGAGAGAGAGAGAGAGAGAGAGAGAGATCTATTTTCTATCTGCTGGTTCACTCCTCAAACGGCGCCAACGGCCAGGGTTGGGCCAGGCCAAAGCCAGGAGACAGGAGTTTCTTCCATGTCTCCTACATGGGTAGCAGGGGCCATAGCACTTGGGCCATCTTCCACTGCTTTCCCAGGCCACAGCAGAGAGCTGGATCGGAAGTGGAGCAGCTGGGACTTGAACAAGCACCCATTTGGAACACTGACATGGCAGGCAGCAACTTAACTTTCTATGCTACAGTGCCAGTCCGTTGAAAAGATGTATTTTCCTTATAACTTCACAACAATCACTAGTCTGCCATGAGCCCAAGAATCAATTACATCACATGTATTTTTGCTTTCCTTTTGGAAGCAAAAGAATAAATAATATATATTACAGTCATACACCACACAGTTACAATTTGGTCAATGATGGACAAAGAACAATGGTGGCTTGTGAGACTGTAATGGAACTGAAAAAATTCCTATCACTTAGTATTTTTACTGTACCTTTTCTGTGTTTAGAAATAAAAATTCTTACCTTCATGTTACAGTTGCCTACAGTATTGAATACAAGAACATACCATTCAGATTTGTAGCCTAGGAACAACAGGCTATACCATACACAAGCCTAGGTGTGTAGTAGACTATACCATCTAGATTTGTCTAAGTACACTCTGTGATGCAATTCTCAGAATGTGTGCCTGTAGTTAGGATACATGGCTGTACTTAATGATGTTCTGGTCTACTATAATCTTTGGCTATATACTGTATAAGAAATAATATGATTCTGTTTCATTCACTACATTCATCCAACATTTAATATTTCTTGACTATAAAACAACTTTTAAATGAATTATCTAAATATCAATGATGAAAGTTAACAGTAATACATCAACTCCCTACATTATAGCTTCTTTAAAAACCCTGTGGTTTCTCGTTCTGTTTATCAAAATAAAATTTACATTACCATTATATTTGTGTGTGAGTACATTTTAAAAGGGATGAATCACATCAATGGCAAAAAAAAAAAAAAAAAAAAAAAAAAAAAGGTGAGCAGATTCCTGGAGAACTCCCAGGGCCAACAGTGAGTATTCTCCCCCAGCAGCCTCTACCTAGCCTCTTGCACGTTTGACGAGCCATGAAGCTGGGGAGCCACCTCCCTGTCTCCTAAGTTCTCTTCCACGCTGACCCTGACATACCACCACATTGCCTCGCTTCTTGGAATGAAACATGAGCCAGCAACTAAGCCCTTAGAATACTATACAATTCATAGCTAAGTCAAAAGAATGTTTTCTCTCGCTCCTACATAGAATTCATACTTCAAAGGGAGAAAACGATGGCATTTATTTCTCTTACTGAGCACTAGAATGTAAGCTCTGTGACAGCAGAGGCCTGGTACTATTTACTTCAGGTCTAGATGGTGCCCAGCACATGGCAGATGTCTGTAAATATCTATATATAAATGAGTGAAAATAGCCACTACCTATCAGATCGTAGGTCTGCATACCCTTGTCTCAGAAATCTCACTTGTTAAAAGTTTAGCATAATATATATAATATATATAAATTGTGAAGGATACCATTGCAAGTATATATATCACAGCACTATTTGTAATACAAAATTGGGAGAAAATCCTAAGGACACACATTTACGGTTCATCCATACTATACCGTCCACTACAGATGGTTTTACATAGGACAAGGAAGGTCTGTAGTCTGTAGGCAATACAAAAGTATGTCCACAACACATACAATGAAAGGCTATTCACCTTTAAAAAGAAATTCTGACACATGCTCCAACATGCATGAACCTTAAAGATATTATATTGAGTTAATTAAGCCAGTCACCAAAGCACAAATACAATATATATTGTGTATGTGTGTGTGCGTGTGTATGTATATAGTATGTGTATATATAAGATTCCACTTATGTAGGATACCCAGGGTGTTAATGCAAACATACAGAAAGAAAAAGGTGGTTGGTAGAGGCTGAGAAAGGGAAGACTGAGGACTCAGAAACAGAATTTGTTTTGCAAAGTAAAATAATTCTTGGGCTGGAGAGTGGTGATGGTTTTATAACAATGTGAATGTACTTAAAGCCAATGAACTGTGCACTTAAAAATGATTACAAGGGTGCCAGTGCCGCGGCTCACTAGGCTAATCCTTCGCGTGCAGCACTGGCACCCCTGGTTCTAGTCCTGGTCGGGGTGCCGCATTCTGCCCCAGTTGCCCCTCTTCCAGGCCAGCTCTCTGCTGTGGCCCGGGAGTGCAGCGGAGGATGGCCAGGTGCTTGGGCCCTGCACCTACATGGGAGACCAGGAGGAAGCACCTGGCTCCTGACTTCGGATCAGCACAGCACACCAGCCGTAGTGGCCGCTTTGGGGATGAACCAACGGAAGGAAGACCTTTCTCTCTGTCTCTCTCATTGTCTATAACTTTCTGTCTAACTCTGCCTGGCAAAAAAAAAAAAAAGGCTACAAGGGTAAATTGTATGTTATGTGTATTTTATCATAATTTCAAAAATTAAATTAAAATTAAAAAGAAAAAACCCAATTCACTAGAAGATTCTACTTACTAGAAAACAGAAAGTTTAAATATGGTTTCTGAAAAATAAAAGAAGGCAATTTTATCTCCTCTTTCAAAAAAATATTAGAAAAATAAGACATAATCCAGTAACTGAACTTCTGTGACAAGTGTAAATTCCTTTGTCTTAAAATTTCTTTCTTTTAAATTTTCATTTTATTTGAAGGGCAGAGGCAGATAGAGAGAGATCTCCCACCCGCAATTTTGCCTGGAGCTATCCATGTCCACCACGTGGGTGGCAGAGACCCAAGGACTTGAGCCAACACCTGCTGCCAGCCAGGAAGTGCCCCAGCAGGAAGCTGACCTGGAAGAGGAGGACCTGGAACTTGAACCAGGTACTTTTTTATTTTTTTTATTTTTTAACAGGCAGAGTGGACAGGCAGAGTGGACAGTGAGAGAGAGAGACAGAGAGAAAGGTCTTCCTTTTGCCATTGGTTCACCCTCCAATGACCGCCGTGGCCGGCACGCTGCAGCTGGCGCACTGCGCTGATCCGAAGCCAGGAGCCAGGTACTTCTCCTGGTCTCCCATGGGGTGCAGGGCCCAAGCACTTGGGCCATCCTCCACTGCACTCCCTGGCCACAGCAGAGAGCTGGCCTGGAAGAGGGGCAACCGGGACAGAATCTGGCGCCCCGACCGGGACTAGAACCCTGTGTGCCGGCACCGCAAGGTGGAGGATTAGCCTAGTGAGCCGCGGCGCCGGCCTGAACCCGGTACTCTTAAACAGCAACTTAACTTCAGTGTCAAACACTCACTGATCCTCTCCAGTCAAATCTGATAAATTCTACCCTGCAGTCGTCATTGGACAATGATCAGAATACAATGATGGATGAGGATTCCTGCACAGAACATATATATGGAGAAGGCAGACTGGGTAAAACCAGCATATGCATGACCAGGGCTGTACATTCTGCTGATGGAGTTACAGAGACACAGGCACCATCTGTTTGGGAGCACGGGTATTGCAAAGAGGCTCTTCATCCATTCAACACTATTTAGTAAGGCTCGCTGTGTGCCAGGATCGTCTAGGAGCCTAGGACTTGTCAACCAAGTGTGACTGTAGTGCAAAATAGGGCCAGGAAGATAACACAGAATAAATAAGTAAATTATAGATATGTGCAATATTGGAAGAATACCAAAAAGAGAAGTTACGATTTTACATAAGGAGCCCAGGATGGGCCTCGGTGAGGTTGCATTTCAGCAAGACTTGAAGAGACCCATTTGAGACTGATCCCAGGTGAGAATGACTTGAGCAGACATAAACCGAGAACCACAGGAGCAGGGTTCTTCAGGCAGATGAAAACAAAGTAGCAAGGCTGGGCTGGAAAAACCCAACCATGTCCTAGAAAAAGCAAGTACTGTAGTACTTCTGTGAATAGCTGAAAATGCCCATAATAAAAAATTGAAAAGAATTCTTAAAATAAGACAGATAAATCTACAATGAGTACTCACCCTGGGAGATTTTAATTCTATGTCGTCTCTTTCGCTTTCACTGTTTGAATCAATGTCTTCCTCAGGTTCACTCTTCACTTCCACCAAAGGCATTTCTTGATCTGCTTTTAGAATCTCTTCCATTGATTCTTCCAAGTCCTTTTTTTCCTGTTTTACTTTCGGTTCATGGTGGTGAATAGTTCTAAACTGAATATTTGCAGAACGGCAGTATTCCTCAAAACCATAGAGATACCTAAACAAATAATGTTTCCTTTTAAGAAATCCCACAGTCTTTGCATTTAACTTGAATACTGTCATTAAACACACACTATTTTCATAAAGTACAACTCAAGTCATTTTTTAAGAAGTAGTTTTCCTAGTTGCTAATTTCTTGGTGTTTTAGATAGGATTATACACAGAAACACTGTTTATAAAAGACCTAACAATCTGAGCCTGAGATAGCTTAGCACAGCTCTCACCACAAAAGACACAGCTCTGTATCCTGTATCCTAAGTTCAGACTATAACCGCCATGTGCATTTATGATTTTCAGAAGGAAATCAGGATAACTTATACAGAGTAAAGCAGCCTCGATGTTCTGAAATAACTTTTAGTCACAAATATCTATTAACCTAAGGCTTTATAGACACTTTCTCTAACTATAATGTTCCTGGATTGACGCAATCTAGTTTAAAGGTTAATAAATTAAATGGAAAATATTTCCTGGAAGTATGTATTCTTTGATGAATGAACTATTCTACTTACTTTCTATAAGCAGTTTTTACATTGTAGGAAGCAGCTGAATTCAAAATAGGAATGCCAAGGTCCATATAAATTTGCTTCCATACAGCACCACTATCAATCTGGAAAATTAAGTTTTGGTTTAGTAACACTTACAAAGGGAAATAATCTTTACATAAACTAATATTCTATATTCACTAAGAAAATGTTTTAATTATCTAAAGTAAAATTAACAATGCAACATCAGAGGATTTAATCTTTTAGTAGACAATTATATATTTTAAGGAGCAACGTTAATGCTTACATTGTCACATCCACCCTGATGATAAACCAGTCTGAAGAGTTTGAAGAGATTGAGATCTTTATAGCCCAAAACAGGTGGTTTATTGATTGGAGTACCTTTTTTTACATCAGAAGGTAAAAATAAAACATTTATTCAAATGAAAAATACAAGCTTGAAAATAAAGTTATCAACTTCTGTTATCCTAAATGTCATTCATTCATTAGAGGCATATATTTAAAGAATATTAAATTACGGAACAAAGTCACCTCTCTGTCAACGAACTGACTAAAACTAAATTAAACCTGGGAACTTCAAGGTGTGGCTAATGGTGCTGCTGGTTTGAGAAGCTCAGACACACAGAGACTCAGGGGAAAAGGTGAATTTTAACCTGTTTCCATTTTCAATGCTTTGCCATAAATGTTATGACTGCTAGCAGTAACTGGAAGGAAAATTTCTAAAGGCCACAGAATGTCTAGGAGCAATTTCTCCATGTATTTTCTAGAACTAGCAAATGTCAAGGAGCATGCTGATTTATAATGTTTTATTTGTTGCAGTCCTATTAGAAATCCTATCCTGTTCAGATAAAGACTGATCTATTATGCTTAATTTGTTGACATCAAGAATCAGGCCAGTTTACTTGCCTAAAATGCAGCATTAGTAATTAATGGCTATGCAGACTAACATTATGTCTGGCCACTTTCTACTCTTGAAATGTTATAATTATTTTTACATTTAGAAGTTAGAGGGCCAGGGCTAGTACTGTGGCAAACTGGGTAAAAGCTGCCACCTGCAGTGCTAGCATCCCATACAGGTGCCGGTTCAAGTCCTGGCTGCTCTACTTCCAATCCAGCTCTCTGCTATGGCCTGGGAAAGTCCTTGTGCCCCTGCACCCGCATGGGAGACCAGGAAGAAGCTCCAGTTTCCTGGCTTCAGATCAGCCCAGCTCCGGTGCGGCCATTGGAGGAGTGAACCAGCGGAAGGAAGACCTCTCTCTCTGCCTCTCTGCAGCTCTGCAGTTCAAATAAATAAATAAATAACTCTCTCTTAAAAAAAAAGTTAGAGGTTATTTCTATCAAAACTACTTTCCTGTATGTCTGTACTCAAATAGGTTAGCAAAAGCTTGTTTTTACTCTAAATATTTTACTGCATCAGGTGTAACTGATTCTAAGGCTTTATTGAAAATCCAAATCCATCCACCCACAATACTAACAAAAACACTGCATACAACTAGAATATAAAATTGTATCACAAATGACTACATTTAAATAATGAATGAAAATACCTCTGTCTTCCATAAACTTATAAAGCTGTTGGAGGAAGTTGTCCCTCTCTTCAGGATCAAGTTCTTCCTCAGGCTACAAAGGTAAAATACACAAATGTTTAGCACACTGAATAGCAAGAGACACAAGGTTGCCTTTTCATGTTTTTTGGTCTAGTGAGCCCCAAGTGAAGGGCATATAAATTTTCATGAAGCTAGAAAGTTTGGATTTTCTCAAAACCTTACAACGCCAGATCATGAGTGATATTTTGATCCAACTGATTTGATGCAATTGTCAGTATGTAGAATCAATACCCTCAGCACTCTGACTGATCCTACCTTTGAGTATCTCAGATTGGCCATGAGGAAAAGATGCCAGAATGGACTGACAATGTGAAGGTTTCACCGTAGTTTTTTTTTTTTTTTTTTTTTTTTTTTTATGAAAACCATCAAAATACAACATGGCGGGGGGAGGGTGAGAGAGAGGGAGAAAGAGATAGAGAGAGAGGGAGAAAGAGAACCATGTGTTTAAGCACAGAGGGTGGGCAAGGAAGTAGGAGCAGTGAATCCCATTAGGATGGGGGTGGGGCTGACAGCGGTGATTGGGCCATGGGGTCACCTGGCTTCCAGCTTCCACCTGACGGTGGGGGCTGGAGTCTAGGATGGTGTCTAGGGCCTAGATCACACAACAGACAGCTCCATTTTACTAACAGTTTTGTTTTGAATATAAACAAGGCATTGCATAGTCACAGCAGGGAAAGTTTTTTGTTTGGATACTATGATTTTTTTTTTAAGATTTATTTATTTGAAAGCCAGAATTATTATACAGAGAGAGAAGGAGAGGCAGAGAGAAACAAAGAGATATTCCATCTGTTGGTTCACTTCCCAGTTGGCTGCAAGGGCCAGAGCTGTGCCAATCTGAAGCCAGGAGTCAGGAGCATTTTCCGGGTCTCCCACATGGGTGCAGGGGCCCAAGGATTTGGGCCATCTTTTGTTTTCCCAGGCCACAGCAGAGAGCTAGATCTGAAATGGAGCAGCCTAGACTCAAACCAATGCTTGCATGGAATGCCTGCATTGCAGGTGGTGGCTTTACCTGCTACACCACAGTGCCCGCCCCAAGGATGCTACAATGTTTTAAAGAAATTTAAGGGGCGGGCGCTGTGGCACAGGTTAATCCTCCACCTGTGGCGCCAGCATCCCATATGGGTGCGGGTTCTAGTCCAGGCTGCTCCTCTTCAGATCCAGCTCTCTGTTATGGCCTGGGAAAGCAGCAGAGGACGACCCGACCACTTGGGTCCCTGCGCCTATGTGGGAGGCCTGGAAGAAGCCCGTTGCAGCCAGTTAGGGAGTGCACCAGAGGATGGAAGACCTCTCTCTCTGTCTCTCCCTCTCACTGTCTGTAATTCTACCTCTCAAATAAAATCTTAAAAAATAAAAAATTTAAATATATTTGAGTGAGTCATATAAATTCTCTTTTCCCCCAGACTCCATTACCAATTCCCTCAAGCCAGCCTGTTTTTCTCATTTGCCTTTTTTTATGGCTTCCACATTTGATTTTACAACCTCTAAAAATAAGTCAATGAGAATTATTTCTTAGAGGAAGAAATTAAACACATGATTACTACTTTATTTTTTAAAAGCCAATGGAAACATTCCTGTAAAAACATTCCTGCTGGCACTGTAGCACAGCAGGTTAATGCCCTGGCCTGAAGCGCCGACATCCCATATGGGCACCAGTTCAAGATCCGGCTGCTCCACTTCCAATCCAGCTCTCTGCTATGGTCTGGAAAAACAGTGGAAGATGGCCCAAGTCCTTGGACCCATGCACCTGCGTGGGAGACCCAGAAGAAGCTTCTGGCTCCTGGCTTCAGATAGGCGCAGCTCCAACAGTTGCAGCCAACTGGGGGTGAACCATAGGATGGAAGACTTCTCTCTCTCTGTCTCTCCTCTCTCTTTGTAACTCTTTCAAATAAATAAATAAATCTTTAAAAAATAGTTATTCCTAAAACTACACTTTTTTAAGTGTTACTTTTTACTAATTCTACAAACACAATGACCTCGTTCTACACTGTCATGATCCTGGATCTTGTGAAACAAACAGGCTATGGATTTTAATAACATATTCTCTTTCTTGATAGACTACTTATAAACTCATACCTGGAGAAATTCTTATTTATAGTCTAGCAATACTTTGGAGAAACAAACAAAACACTGGCATTTTCTTGCATATAAATAACCATAACTTAATTGTACTACTTTTCTAGGTTCTAGAAGAATTCCAGTTGTCTTTTCAAAGCCATAATCAAAGCAAAGGCAACTGTCAGGCAATAAAGATTATGTTCTGTGTCCAGAGGGCAACAGATACTTTAACAATATGATATGCTTTAAGAATAGCTAATAATACAGTCAGGACCAATAAACAAGCAGTCAACTAAAAGATTTCATAAGAAACAAAGGAGGCGAGTGTTGTGACTCAGCAGGCTGAACCTCTGCTTGGGACACCCACACCCCACACGGGAGCGCTGGTTTCAGTACCAGCACCCCACTTCCTGCTGACGCACCTCGGGAGGCAGCAGATGATAGCTCAAGTGCTGGGGTCCCTGCCTCCCAGCAAGGAGACCTGCAGGAGTTCCAGGCTCCTGGCTTTGGCAACAGCCCCAGCTGCTCTGAGTACTGGGGAGTGAACCAGCAAATGGAAGATCCCTCTGCCTCCCTCTCCTCCACCCCTCACCCCAGCCCCAGCTTTCAAGTATAGGAAAATAAATTTAGAAAGCATTTTTAAAAACCCAAAGAAGTAATCAAGGGAAAGACAGTAAGCTCATTATACTTGCTTTCTTCTTTTCCTTGTAATACCTTCATTCAGAATGATTTATAACACTGAAATAGTCTTACCACATGTAAGGCAAATCAAGTCAACATACTAAAGCCCCTCAAATCAGGAACTGATAAAGAGGAAATTCACTACTAAGAGAGATTGTTACTTAATGTTCACATCAAAAGAGAGCAGCTTTTTCCACATACGAATTTATTAACTGCCAGTGACTCACGAAAAAAAAAAGGGAATCCAACAGTCCAAGAGTCATTCCATAGATTAATTTTAAGGACTTCTTGGGGGAAACTGGGGGAACAACACTGTGCCAGGCTGACTACGTTTTACCTACGTCCTGTAGACACCACAGTCTTGCCCAGACAAGACCTCATTCTAGCATTTATGATCTGACAGACTGCTATGTATACACTGTAAAGGAAAGTGTTTATAAAGATACTGATTTATTTTTTTCTGTAAGACCTTCTATCATAGACAGTCTGTACTTTTATACACAAACAGCTTCAGACACAAACATGATAGAAAATGGATAACTTTGTTAATGTTCTATTGGGAACTGTAGATATCACTCTTATCAGATACACAGACTCAGAGAAAATGAGAGTTTGGAAGCAAAGATTATTCATATAAACTTTCCATCTTCTTTTTTTAATGCCTCCCTAGAGAATGAATGGAAACCAAATAATCAGGTTTTTAGAAGATACCTATTTAAAAGCAAAATTGCTTCCCAAAATTTTTTTAAAAATCAACCCCTCAGAGCCAGCGCTGTGGCTCCCTTGGCAATCCTCTGCCTGTGGCTCTGGCATCCCATATGGGCGCCGGGTTCTAGTCCCGGTTGCTCCTCTTCCAGTCCAGCTCTCTGCTGTGGCCCAGGAGGGCAGTGGAGGATGGCCCAAGTGCTTGGGCCCCTGCACCAGGAGGAAGCACCTGGCTCCTGGTTTCAGATCCGCCCAGTGCTGGCTGTGGTGGCCATTTGGGGTGTGAACCAATGGAAGGAAGACCTTTCCCTGTCTCTCTCTCACTGTCTAACTCTGTCAAATAAAAAAAATTAATAAAATAAAAATTTTTTAAATTTAAAAAAAACCAACCCCTCAGTGCAATTAGGCAAATATTAAGGCTGTGTCAAACATCTGATAAGGGGCCGGGATTGTGGCATAGTGGGTAAAGCTGCCTCTTGCAGTGCTGGCATCCTACATGGGCGCCAGTTCGAGTCCCGGCTGCTCCACTTCTGATCCAGCTCTCTGCTATGGCCTGGAAAAGCAGTGGAAGATGTCCCAAGTCCTCCAGTCCCTGCACCTGTGTGGGAGACCCAGAAAAAGCTCCTGGTTTTGGATCAACACAGCTCTGGCCGTTGCGGCCATTTAGGGAGTAAACCAGCGGATGGAAGGCCTCCCCCCCCCCCCCACCTCTCTAACTCTGCCTTTCAAATAAGTAAATAAAAAAATTTTAATGGGCCAGCGCCACGGCTCACTAGGCTAATCCTCCACCTGTGGAGCCAGGACACCAGGTTCTAGTCCCGGTCGGGGCGCCAGATTCTGTCCCGGTTGCCCCTCTTCCAGGCCAGCTCTCTGCTGTGGCCTGGGAGTGCAGAGGAGGGTTGTCCAAGTCCTTGGGCCCTGCACCCGCATGGGAGACCAGGAGGAAGCACCTGTCTCCTGGCTTCGGATCAGCGCGGTGAGCTGGCCGCAGTACGCCGGCCACAGCGGCCATTGGAGGGTGAACCAACTGTAAAGGAAGACCTTTCTCCCTGTCTCTCTGTCTCTCACTGTCCACTATTCCTGTCAAAAAAAAATTTTTTTTGATGAATTTAATTAGATTTAAGTTAGCGACTTTGTTCATATTTTAATCTTTTTAAAAATATATAGATTTATTTGAAACTCAGAGTTAGAGTCAGAGAGAGAGACAGAGAGAGATCTTCCATCTCCTGGTTCACTTCCCAAATGGCTACAACAGCCAGGGTTGGGCCAGGCTGAAGCCAGGAGTCAGAAGCTTCTTCCGGGTCTCCAATGAGGGTACAGACGCCCAAAGACTTGGGCCATCTTCTGCTGCCTTTTCCAGGCATGTTATGAGAGCAGGACTGGAAGGAAAATAGCAGGGACTCAAACCAGCACCCAGGGGGTATGCCAGTACTGGCAGGAATAACGTTAGGGAAAGCCTCAAAATATAAATAGTAGACAGTCCTGGAGGTGCACAAACAGCAAAAACAGGCCATGATTAACAGATCACAGCTTTATAATAATATGCAAAATAGAATTAGATCCTATTTGTGT